CTAGAATAAAGTGTGTGTACTGGACAGGTACAGTCATGGATGTTGTTTATAAGCACAGGCACAGTCATGGATGTAGAATAAAGTGTGTGTACTGGACAGGTACAGTCGTGGATGTTGTCAATCAGACACCGGTACAGTTGTCAGGACAGGTACAGTTGTTGATGTTGCATCCCAAGAAATTCCTTACGTTTTTATAAAGGTGCTATTAACGCTTTTCACCGATATTCCCTATAGATTGATTCCAGACAACTGATTGCAGAATCTTAGAGAGGCGGATCTAATAAGAATATTTACTTATACAAATATTTTCTTCGGATGTTATCGATAATTATAGCATTAATTTCCTTTAATATGAGCAATTATTTTAATACCATACCCTACATATTCCAGGTATCACGCCACGGTTATCGACCAGTCATGATGTTAATTGTTCCATGCATATAAAATTAATTTTTATTTCTTTTGAGAATTTTTTTTTTTTTTGGGGGGGGGGGGGGGTCTTCCAGCTTATTTTTACAACTTTGATACCTGTGCCTAGTAAATTTTATGTACTTTGTAAATAAATAATTTTTTTTGTCAGGAACTATTCTTTTTCAGGGCATTGGAGGCTATTTCCTGGGGTGCACTTGAGATGTTTATATATAACTCATTGAAAACGGGTGGATCAGCCCATTCCACCCGTATATATCGTAAGACATACAAATGTATATATATGGGGAAAAAACCTGTGCTTTTCATTGACACCACTTGCGTGATCAATAAAATGGGTGAAATTAATAATATTGTGACGTACTTATACTTTCTAACATAAAATTAAGGATTACAAATTAATTTCAATATGTATTTTAATTTCCTTTTTTATTTTACTTTGTTTATTGTTTACTCGTATATTTTCTATAATTATACTAGCATGTTTCATTTTAAATTCATCATTATTATTGAGCACGTAGGATATTGAAATCATGCCCCCAGCCCCCCCCCCCCCCCCCAAAAAAAAAAAAATTAAAGACCTGGCTCATATTGTACTCTGAACATAAAGCTGTAAAAGTTTTGGATCTTTCCCTAATCACTGCTGTCATCGTTTGTCTCGGTATCACTGTCATGGGTAATATAAAGATTAGCGTTAATTGCGCTTTGATTGAATTCATTCTAAATTTAAATCGGAGAAAATCCACAGAATTTTTTGTTGTGGATGTTATTAATCAAGCGCGGGTTGAGTCAGTGGTAGTGTGTATGTACGGCACAGGTACAGTCGCAGATGGTGTATATCAGGCACAGGTATACAGTCATAGATATACAAAATTTAGGCATAGTCAAGTTTACATATATTTTCCGCGATATATTCACTAAGCCAGTTATCGTTACCGTTTTGGCGATTACAGCCTTCCATAAAGTAGATTTATTTAAAATCAGAAATTTTCTTTCCTCCATATTAACACATTTCGTATTTTTCATTAAAAAACAATCCATACTTAATTAAAAACATATAGTTTAATATGTTGAACAATCCGGAAAATCTTGCTCTGACATTCCGTTTTTGATATTAGTGAGCAGGTACAGTCATGGATGTCCGGTACCAGCACTGCCGAGTACAGTTGCGGATGTTAGCTGACAGACCCCACTCAAAATTGTTTGCAAGTGTCAGAGGGCGAAAATAACACGGGTCGAAAATAACCCGGTATACAGTATATACACAAAAGCTAGACGTGTCAAAACAAAACACGTAGATGAAAAAAATCTGCGTCGACGCTTCCCAACACTCTGCAGCGTCACGTCCTACTCCTTCTCTGATCATGAAATATTGCTACGAGGACTTTTTGTCATTGGCGCAATCATATCACGCGCCTTATTCCGGAAATGGTTACCGTAAACTTTCTTTTTTTAAACATCACATGAGTCGATCACGTGACGCCTTGCGCCTCCTTAAAATTCTCTAACTGATAGATACAACTTTAAACGGAAAGTACTTGTATAAAATAAAATTAACAAATGCATAATAAAACGATTAATAAAGTGGGTTCTTCATATGAAAATGATGGCAGAATTATTTCTGATTAGAATTCATTTTGGTACTTCTCATTTGTACTAATTATGAATTCATTTGGGCAGATTTTTTTCATTTAGGAATAGGAAATTATTCAATTGCCTGGATATATTTTTTATTTTCAAAAAGATTAAGAAGTTGGGATTACCTGACCTTAGATATACACAGTATGTTTTTAAAGTCAAACATAAAAAATATTTTATTTCTAATTATACATGTATCTTTACTTATAAAATATGAGGATATCAATTTTGGTTGGATATCTGTAGCCTACACTGTTATGAATTCCTTCCATGACATCGCATATTTTCAGTTCTAAACTACTCAATAAAAAACAAGACATTCCTAAGGGTAAGCGTTACCCTCATTCGTAATGGCGATTACTTGATAAATGTTTTCACTTTTAATAAATAGGACCGTATAAAGAGAAAATATATAAACTCTATGTGCTTTAGTACATGCGGTTTTTGTGTTTTATTACTTAAAATTTGTCCAAATGAAATAACAAAACTCTACTCTAATGATCCTGGCACCGGCAAAACATATCATCAGTGGCGGATCTGGTTGGTGGATTGATTGAATCGCAACACCTGAATCTATGTATTTATTAAAGTTTCAAATCGTTGGGCCATAATGACACATCAGAAATTTATAAAACATAGTGAATTTCTAAATACATCTACGTACAATGTTATAAGAAAATGGGAATGGATATTATAATAAATAGAAAGAACATAGAATGTGTTTTATCACTCTTAAATAATGCAAATAAATCGTGTTCTTTATGGAGCTCGAGCTTTGACAAATATTTTCCAAGATAACAATTTCCCTTTACATTTCGAATTCGTATGCATAAAATTCTAATTATTTTCCGAACGCTAAGTTTTAGTAATAACACTTTTTTACCCAAATCTATAGTCATTATAAAAAGAACATGACTGTATAATTATAAAATGAAAATAATCGTCAATAACATTCAAGGAACATATATATTTGATACAAGATCCACTTTTTAAAAGACTATTCATGTGCATATCTAACGTTTTTGAAAATTCAGATTATGAGTTAAAAAGCCTAATCTATGCAATTTGTATTTTGTACGTATACATGTACAAGTCATTAAAAAGTTTGCTTTATAGCAATATTGTACATGTGTATCAATGGCATCAACCGGGTCTTGTTTTACTTCGAGCATGACTACGAATAAATATAAGAAAACATATGATGAATATAAACCTCAAGAAATCTTTGTTTTATTACCGTGTGCAAATTTATTATTGTCAAAATCTGCATTGAAAATAAATATGCATGTGTAGCCAAGTCCCAGCTAATTAAGTTCATCTTGTATGTCTTCTTGAATTTGGTCTTACAATATCGTTACAGTTCAGTTGAATTGCAATCCTGATTTTGGTTTTATTGTATAAACAAATGTTAGTATAATTGCAGCTTTCTATCAAATTACCTTTACTGAACTGACATGGCCATTTTTCAAGATGTATGAAATAATTTTATTAGTTGAACTTTGTATTGATACACACTATTAAATGAGAACTTTACATGAAAATCAAAAACATTTATGTCTGATATGTCCACTATCTTTCTAACACTCTTAGGACTGTCTTTACCATAGAAGGTTCAACATGTGGCAAAAAAATGAATAAATAAATAAAATTAACATGATTTCCACTAAGACCCCTTCATCTTCAAAACCAAGCTAGTTTAAGTATCAGGCACGTAGTATCGAAGGGGGGGGGGGGGGCTTTTCCCCCAAGAGTAATTTTTAGCTTTTAATTAAATACGGATACATTCGCTGAAAAGTCTGGTCTTCAACTGTACATAATGTAATAACATTTTACAAGCTAGTTTTACTTTTAAAAAATATTATTTGACAAGCGTTTTACATCATTTTGTTTTTTGAAGAAATGAATCACTAAATATTTAATAGCCATACTGAATAGTCTTGAACATTTGGTCTTGGTTTTTATTAAAAAGATGTGTTCTTCTATAACAAATCTATAGTTAAATTATAATTATACAAATTCAGACTGTACATTGAAAATATCCAGTTTAATGAATTGCAATGATCATATACATGCTTTCATCTACTGACTTTATCTTTCGACCAAATTATACCCAAATATGTAGGCATTTTCCTCTGACCAGCCTCCACAGACCCAGCAACAGTTTAAAAGTGTGTGTGTGTGTGGGGGGGGGGTTATTGTTTAACGTCCCTCTCGAGAATTTTTCACTCATATGGAGATGCCACCACTTGCCGGTGGAAAGCTGCAAATTTTGACCTATACTCGGCACTTAATGCCATTGAGCAGTGAGGGATCTGTTTCACCTACTGCGACACGGGACCGTTTATACGGTCTCATCCGAAGGACCGGTCTCCACGTCCCACAGTGGGATTCGAACCCGCGACGTAAGGATCAACTCCTTACTCCGCGACTTTAAAGCGAACTCTCTAACCACTGCGCCACGCGGGCGACCTGGGGGGGGGGGGGGGTAACTACCCGAATAAATCAAACAAGGAAAAAAACCTACTGTCTAAACTCGAAAATTCTATTTCGGGGGGGGGGGGGGGCGGGGGGGGGGAGATGGTGGACTTTTTTTCTTAACTTTTGGTACATTTTTATTCTAATCATGCACGTTGCAAGTCCTTGACCTTACGGAAAAAAGGAGGGGGGGGGGTACTAGCAGCATCTAAAAGTTTACTATAGCAAAATACTATACTTGCAAAAAGGTGAAGGGGGCTTTCCCCCACGTTCTACGGATCTGGTCCGCCTATGTATGTAGGATAAGAAAATATTACAATTGCAAGTAACTGCATCTGGTAACAATATAATTTTTGACCTTGAACTTACAAGATGTCCCACATTAAATTCACTCCAAACTACAATGTTTGTAAATTTTATTTAACAGAAATTTTATGATGCTTTTCAAAATCCCTGCATAAGAATATCAATTATTTCAATAGCAAGATGTGTACCATACTTTAAATATAAGCAACATCTTATTTTTTTAATTTTGAAAAACAAAATGTGACCTGCAAAACTTCAATTTAGTAATCAACAGTAGGTCATCATGACCTATTTTTGGGTTGTAACACTGGGGGGCACACAGATCAATTATATAATTAACAAGATTTGATGATCCTAGTTATCTGTCTAAAGATTTGATGATGATAGTAAATACTTCCAAAGGTACATCACCATGACCTACTTTTACCTAGCCCTTCCCCTATACTACAAGATGCATTAACAACAAGATTTGAATACCCTGGGACACGTACAGTGTATATTAAAATGATTTGAAAATAAATGGTCAAAATGCCACTATAAAGTACATTTCATTTGTGTCAACCCAAAGTCCAAACACGCATCAATCAACAAGGTTTTATTATCGCCGTGACTTACTTTTGATTTAATATACTAGTACTTCAAAGTCCCAAGATGCAATATCAAAAAGGTTCACACTTGCATACATTTTAAAATGATTTGCAAAAAAATTGAAAAAGTCACTGTGACCTACTTTCAGTTTATACATTCAAGATGTATCAATCAACAAGGTTTGCTGATCCTCAATGTCACAGTGTCAGGGTGTCATTGTGACCTACTTTAGATTGACACACTCCTATTTTATATGATGTACCAGTTCTCCTGGTTTGGTGACCCTTTGTCTAATAGTGTTGAAAATAGGTTAATAAAATATCTAAATATAAATAGCCATAAATTAAATAGGTCGGTCATTCTGACCTAGCTAGATCAGCACACTGTGAGACCCTAAAATGCATCAACTGACAATGTGAGTTCTTTTGTAAAACAAGGCCGATATCTTTAAGGCATCTTAGCATCCAAGATATTAAGTTATATTATTTGGAAATGAATTTATATACACATGTAGCTGTAAAATCAGAATATGCCCTTTAGACTATAGGTTGATTCTATATATCCTCATATACGTCCTCATTTTATGTACAAGTTTAGTGAAAATCTTAACATTGTTTCAAGACATTTCAGCACCATTACATGTACTTTCCTTATAATTCCCTAATAATCTCCCCTTGACTAAAACTTCATACTTAAATGAACGTCCTGAGCCAAGGATACTCTGTGTAATGAAAAATTTGAAAAATATATTAGCCAAAGGTTCTTGAAAAATTTACCATATTCCAAAAAGTTTATGCACACTACACAAATGGCCATAGCATAAGCTCACTGAACATTCAGCTCAAAAGAGCCAAAAATGCAAATTAAATATAATATGTATAAATAGAGTAAAATGATGCATACTCCGAAAATAAAACTATGCAGAAATCAGGTGAAGTTCATTCATCAATAAGCTTGTCAGCACCATATATAAGTGATTATGGTACATGTAATTTTAAATACAGATCACTGGCCAAGGTGAATGAATTATCAGCATTGGTAATATCACAATGACCTTCAACTCTGATGTAAGCCTAGTTATTGGTCAATGCCATCATTTAAATCATATTAGAAGTGTACACTGTGAAGTAAACTGTTTGTAACTTATTATCATGCAGATTATAATTTAAAGTTTAATGTTGTGATACACAGGCATGTGTTATTTTTTCCTGAAGTGGACATACTAAAAATACACATTAGTACCAGTGAAAAAGTGGTCTCTGAAAGTCTTTCTTTCAGCTTCAGAACATTCTGTGGATCAAACACTTTAAATCACAACACCTTAGAATTGTGTCATTAGTGAGGTTTCCCAAGTCTCTCAACTCTTGTTCAATGAATTTTTCAAATGAGCAACACTACCCTTAATGGTAACGTTTTTATCATCCACACCATGCTCATATTCATCGACGTCGGCCAAATCCTCATCTAAAGAACTTGATAACTGCTGCAGCATTAGGTCTAAAGCAACATCACTGACAACTTTTTCATGTAGCTTTTTCAAGGGCTGATTTGTCATTGTTTTATCACGATTAACGACAACATTGGTATATTGACCAAACAGCAGATTCAATATCATGTCATCTAAGTATTTGTTTGCATGGTCACTTTCATTCCATACCTTTCCTTGTCTGGATATGAGGGAAAGAAGATATTCCAGAGTAACTGATTCCAAAAGTTTGTCCTGAGCTTTTTTGGACACTTCTCTCAATTCCTTTTTCTCAATTTTTGTATCATAGTGTTCCAAAACTTCCTTGGCTATCTTTGGAAGCTCATCCTCCAATTCTTGCTCAATAACATAATTTTGAATGAACTCTTCCATGACCATTTCAAAAACAACATCATCTACCAGTTCCCTCTGAATGTCCTGCAAATGATCAAGGACCAGCTCATCCACGACTGCAGCTGCTGAACTGACTCTCATGTGGTCACTGGCCATTTCTCTGACCGTGTCTCGTACCACCTCGTCAGTGGAATCACGGATGGCATCTTCGACAAGGTTATCCAGGAATCTAACTAAAGGGTCTTTTGGATGTATATCATTGTCATAACCCATGTATTCATTAACCATATCACCAACACCTCCGCGAACAGCTTCTCTGGTTAATGACTTCACAACATCGTCAATAATGTCATCTCGAACATCTACAGCAGCATAGTAGTTTGAATGATCATCCCGTGGTTGTTCATTTCTATATCGCTTTTCTATGTAGCCTCCATCATTAATTGGCAGGAATGGGGAATCCCTTGGATAAATATACTTGTATTTCTTTAGAACACTATTTCTACTGGGATCAAATACTCTAGGTTCTTTGGATATTCTGTTTGACATTGAAAATTGTACTGCAGTGTTTCTGGACTTGCCCCCAGCAGGGTATGTCTGATGCACTTCTAACCTATCGGCTGGCTCTTTGCCTTTTCCCCTTTTCTTCCCCCTCTCCCTATAAACAGGCGGAGGTGGATAATAGACTGGAAAGGGGTTTCCATATACCACTGGCGGAGGGTGCATTCCAGAGGGGGCTTGGTATGCTGGGTACCCATACATTGGGTAGGGATAAGGCAGAGGCATGAAGTGCTGGTGCTCCTCCTCGTTTTCCTCATCTGATTCTTCGCCCCAGGAATCGTAATCTGGGGTTTGATGGGTTGATCGTCTGTTATTTACAGGTGGGACAACATCATATCTACTTCCTCTCAACTTTCCTCTGTTCCGATCAGTGTCTGGTGGTGTCTCCATTCTGGGTAACTGTGAAGGAGAAGGCCTTCTGTAGAGACCAAGTGGAGAGTGTGTACGTTTTAATCCATTTGCAGGAGACCTTCTTGGAGAGATCACAGGTGAATCTCGATCAGAAAGTTGGGTGCGAATCCTATTCAAACTGGATTTGTGATCCTGCCAAAACATTTTCCTTTCATTTGCTGACAACGACATTTTTTAACGTTATTCCAAATATGTCCCTGGAAAATTTACCACAGTTATTTCTCAATTAATTATCCTGGCGTCCACCTGTTTTCTCTCGTCGCTACCATATTGTTTACATTGACGAAATTGTAACAGAGAAAAACTTTTGGTGAAAATTTTATTCCCGGAAAGGCAACGCCACTAGTTATTGATTTACACTGAGTTAACTTTATATCTAATTTTTTACACTTTTAAAGAAACTGCAAAATATCAAATTTGTTAACATTGTAATTTTCATAGCGAAGAATGTGGCAATATATATCTATATTTACATGATAAAAGAATGATCTTCTTTTCCCCTTAAATATTTCTTTGGCTTTCGTGTTCATTACATAAAAAAAAGGATTACAAATACAAATATGTACAAAACCTGTAACCTTTTCTAATGTATGAATGCGTATCTTTAATTTTTGTATGTATGTTAAAAAAATATTATTAAATGCAATGGACCTCTTTTCATCAAAGTACTGAAAGTACTGGGAAACGCTAAGCAATGAATCATCAGAATTAGTTTGATTTTTAAATTTTCTGTTGTGTTTGAATAGGTAATATGTTGATGTTGCGACTGTTCACTGTTGGGGTAAGCGCAGCTGTTTGATACATATTCAATTAAAAATCAAAAAAGAAATGAAAAAGCAGTGAACTATAGGCAAGTGTTATTAGCATGCATCTCCAGCAAGATCATGGAGCATATCGTCACTAGCCACATCATGAACCATCCTGATACCAACAACTTCATATACCCACTTTAACATGGGTTTCGTCGTGGTCTTTCATGCGAAACCCAACTTATTGAGTTCAATGATGATATCACTATCAACATAGACAAGGGAAAACAGACTGACTGCCTTATCATGGACTTCTCCAAAGCATTTGATAAAGTGATTCATGATCTTCTTATCCACAAGCTCAGTCATTATGGAATAAAAGAAAAGCCCAACCAGAGGATCCAAAGCTTCCTAACCAACCGCAGGCAAAGTGTGGTCGTGGAGGGGGAATGATTTGAAGAGGTGTCGGTGGACTCAAGCGTACTTCAAGGTTCAGTCCTTGGACCGAGTCTTTTTCTCTTTTATAGCAACGACATGCCAGAGGGTCTTTCATCAACCGTACGACTCTTTGCTGATGATACCGTAGCATACATGACTATCACCTCTGATGCAGAGAAGCTGCAGGACGACCTAAACCAACTAGCGGTCTGGGAAAATAAATGGCTCATGCGGTTCCACACAGAAAAATATTGTGCTTACCATTACCAAGAATCGTAGTCATCAAGAAGAACCACATTCTACACAACCACCAATTAGAGCATATTCTTTCAGCAAAATATCTTGGCGTTACCATATTTATATCTCGTCAGACTTGAAGTGGACCCAGCACGTAAATAACATCTGTGCCCAAGCAAACAGCCCAGTGCTGACTGGAATCTTCACTAAAAGTAAGATATTCATAAAATTGAAATGATTCTTAACGAGGTTGGATCCTGATATTTAAAGTCTTAAACTTTTTTTGTCAAGTATATTTTTAGTTTCTACACACATAGCTTAATTAAAAAACAAAACAAAAAATTGGGGTCAATATGCTTCTTTCGGCGCTACAGTAAATTTAATTTGACCTTTTTGCACTGATATTTGTGTCTGAATCAAAAATCGCATCGTCGACGTTTTCCCTCCAATGTTTTTATCCAAATAAATCATGGGACAAAATAAACTATTAGTCTATTTTAAAAAAGACGCATTAAAATTGTGACGAAGAAAAAGTTTCAAATTGCTTCGCATAATGAATTATTTGACCTTTCTGCACTCAAAAAATGTGATTTTTCTGGCATTAAAAATTTAAAACGCAAGAAAATTATTTTAAAGTCTTAAACTTTTGCTAAATTTAAGCAGATTGATCAAAGTTATCTTATATATTCAGGAAAGAAAAACAAGAGTGGGGGTCTATGAGCTAAATTTTTAGATATTACTAAAAAAGTGTTAATTTTATGTTAAAATTGGCTCAATTTTTTCCTGGACTTTCAGAATATATTTACTTTATTTGTCACAATATAATGAAAGAATTCATAAGAAATAATTTATTAGATATTTCAGAGCCAGCATAAAACATTTCACTGCAAAAAACAGCTCTATGTCTAACCAGCATGGAAAAATAGTAATCTAAACTTTACAGTACTGTATATATTTCAAAAGGGAAAAATTGATCATTTTCTTCTAAAAAACCTTCCGCCACAAAATATAGTTCCTGGCTTAATCCTATTTTAATGGAATTTCATCGCGGTTTTTTCATTGGATATAGTTTAATTTGCATTGTAGAATCCAGATTCAATGTTAGAACATAAAAAATGATGCAGAATTTTAGATATAAAGGTCCTGACTAAAATCTGCTCAAAAGCTCAGGATCGAACGTCCTTAAGAACAGCGTAGAGCAGCTTAGTATATATGTCCACAACAGATATCACAACACCTAATCTGTAACCGAGCTGCTTACCCATGCAGCTTGAATGGCCATCATTAGAATTAAAAGCGGCGCAGGACAGCCAGCCTCAGTGTTATGTTCAAGCTGATTAACAACACGGTCCAGATTAACACTAGTCAGAAACTTAAAATTCAATAAAGAACATCACTCTGGCATTCCAAATTCCGTCATGCTGAAATTCAGTGAGGAAGGAATAATTCTACCCACGTACATGTACCATCAAGGGGTGGAATGTACTGCCCACTTCTACTGTGATGGCTCAAAGCCTTGACTGCTTCAAGGCTCGTCTCCGTCAATAAGCCTCCAGCCCTGTTTTTAACTCATCTGTAATTAAATAGACACTCACAATTTTATTTTTAACATGCGCACAACCAACAATGGCATAATAGTCAGTAATTTGACGGTAGCCTACCGTTAGAAGTATTCACTTTAAAATAAAACTTACATCGGCCTCATGAAGGCCTAGACTGTCACATTATATAACGTCGTATGCAAGTTGCATTTCCATAACAAACTCTCAAAAGATGTAACAAAGAGCATCTAATTTACTGGAGGTTTAAACAAGTTTTGAGTCGGACCATTTTTAGCCAGTTGTTGGGAGATGGCAAACAAATAATTTTTTAAAGATTGGCCTTATTGATAAAATATTTTAAAATTACTGAATATTATGTCTGAATTGTTTTTAGTATATTTCAATTATTTCCTTATCTTCATAAGATATTTATAAATTTATGATTTTATAAAAAGGTTTCACAAGAACTCGAAGGATTCCCCGGCATTGGACTGTATAAGATATGCTCGCAATCGTTACGAATTTCCAGGTATTAATTAATGATAAATAAAAATTAGACTGTAAAACTTTGTTTTTAATAAGCTACAATTGTGAATGTCACAACAGTATTTTTTCAACACTTTAACTGCGTGTTTAAATTTACTTCACATTTATTGTGATGGCAATCACTGCACCATGCAGCATACCGGCAACATGTAACAAAGAACTAGAAATTAACATATCTGATAGCGAGGAGTTCATGTCATTTTGTCAGATATATATGACTCAAGTCATTTTGTCAGATATATATGACTGTATATATATAAATTTTGGGTAAAAGGATATTACATTTGTCTTAATTTATTTGATGATAATTAAAGCATTCCTATCCTTTATCTCTGATTTTCATGTACATGAATTAATTTTAATTTATTTGCACCAAAAATTAAAGCTATACCATTTCTGTTAATCTTGCTGTATGAAATTTGGAAGACAAAGTGCAGTCTATCTGCAAAGATTGCATTGATCAAAGAGAAAGATCAACATTACAATTCCAGAAAAAAAAAGACCCATGGGCCACAACGCTCACGTGAGGCACGTTTGCATTGCTGTTCTGTAGATTTTCCAACTACATACCGTACATGTATTCCTATATAAAATTTTGATATCTTTTTGTGGCCCCACTTTATTCACAGGGGTTATGATTTGATAAAAATCGAATTTACGCTACCTGAGGATGATTCCATATTCATATGACAATTCATGGCTTTGCTGTTTTTGAGAAGAGTTTTAAAATCTTTTCCTATAAATTCCTTTGTAAAACCACGATTGTCCATTGTGGCCCCACCCTAACGCTGGGGTTAAAGATTTCCAAAAACTGGATTTTTACACCACCTGAGGATGCTTCTGAATTAATACGTTTCATCATGGCTTTACTGTTCTTGAGAAGTTTTAAAGATTTAATTATAACAAATTAGAATTCTCTTTACCCAAGGATGCTTTTAACCAGCTTTGGTTAAAATGGGACCAGTGGTTCTTGGGAAGAAGTTGAAAATGTGAAAAGTTTACAGATGGACAACGCCAGGCAATGGCTGATCAGAAAAGCTCACTTGAGCTTTTAGCTCAGGTGAGCTAAAAAAACAACAAGAGGCCTTGATGGTCACCTGAGTATTACGACTTTCTCCAGCTATGGCCACTTTGGTCCAATCCCAAACTGCGATTCTATACTGACTCCTGAACCAAGAGTACTTAAATTTTAAAATATTTGGGGATGGCTAACTGGTCCTCACAATCATGTAAACAATTTGTAGGTTAATGTCCACAAGTTCATGATGATTTTCATGTGTATTGTATTTTCAATGAATTACAGTTTATGTACATCTCGAACACTGATATCTCGAATATCAAGGATACATCAAAGTGTTTGGAAGTCCAAACCACTTATTCTTCAAGTATTTTACCCTTGATTTCTCAAATACTTGGATATCTCATCAGTTTTCCATTGGTCCCATTGAGTTTAAGATAATGAGGTTTGACTGTATATTCATCTTCATATCTTTGCAGACAATATTGGCCAGGTAGTATTCAAGAAGAATTTAAAGTAGTCAATAACTGTTGTTCACGGAGACAACAGATAAAGACCAATAAAGTGACTCAAATCACCTACACAGAGAATGTTACATACTAAAATCCATATCATATGTCATATCAGCCCGAGTGGCCCCATATCAGCCCAAGGGCTGATATGA